GAGGCGCCATGACCCACACGTCAGCAAAGGCTCTGGGGCTGGACGTGAGGAGGAGACGGGGCGTCTACTAGAGAAAAGAAGGAAGTTTCTTTCCTCACTTTCTGAATTTATCTGAGTTTAGACTTGTTTAAGCCCACTGAGTCATTCACAGCCCTGGGCCGCACACGGCCGCCCTATGGGCGGGCTCTCAAGTGGTCCTGGTGGCCGCGGTGTCTCCTCTGCGCCCCTTTGGGGGCAGCTCAGCCCGGTGCTACCTGGCCGGGCAGCTCTGGAGTGGCAGGTCGGAGGCCTATGGCCTCCCCTGGCCTGTGGGAGACCAGCTGATGAAAAATGCCACTTTGAACCCGGGATCGTGAGGGGCCAAGTGGTGAGGTGTCCACGCCCGGAGGTAACAGGTGGGGACAGTCACACCTGAGGACAGTATCTCAGGATGCACGCGCTCCACAGAGCAGGCCAGGGTTGGGGGTGGGAGGCTCAGGACCGTGGCCGAGCACAGTGGCCGGCAAGTGTGCAGACGCGGCCACCGGCCACTGAGCCCTGTGTGGGCATGGGCTGGCCAGGACTGCACCAGTGCAGAAGCCTGGATGTGGTGACTCAGGTCCTGCAGGAGAGACTGTGAGCCCCAGAGGCCCCGATGGGCCCGTGAGCCCCGCAGGCCACGTAGACAGGACGCGGATCCTCCGACCGCTCTGCCACGGGCGGTGTAGGCAATGACTGGGAGACTGGTCGCAATGGCCTCTCTCCCGGGCTCTCACACAACCCCTCAGAGTCTCCTGATCAAGAAGAGAATGATTGTCTCTCCTGAAATTGCCTGGAAAAATTGTCCTCCACAATCCTTGGCGATAATTTCCCTAAGGGGACACCCACTTTATTTCCAATCCTGCTCGCCTGGCTCTGGGGACCTTCAATCTGCAGTCACAGGCTGGGCCACCTGGGCCTCTGGCCAGCGTTCCACCCACAAGCCGCCTGGCCAGGGCCTGGCTCGGGAACCAACTGCGAGTCCAATGAGGCTGAGGCTATTTCTCAGAATCACCCCAGAGGCACAGAGGTGGGGTGAAAGGGGCCAGGGTCACCAATAATTAGAGGAGGTCACAGTCAACAGGGTGTGATGTGCGAGTAAGCCTGAGGCAGCTCAGCAGGTTTGGAGAAAGACACCCGCCCCAAACAGCAGGTGGCACACAGGCACACGCGTGTGCACCGGCACAACCAGCACACACGCGCCCAAACCGCCGGGCCAGGGCAAAGCACACCCTGTGCCACCCCCGCGTGTGGGCCAGGCCCGCGCCGGCCTCGGTCGCAGGAGCCACCTCTGCACAGACGCGGAGCAGCGACCACCGCGGGTGGGGACGCCCCCCCCAGGGCCCCCAGGGTGGGCCCGCGGGGCTCAGCAGGGGAGAGAAGCTTCTCGACCCGGAAAGATGCAGCCTCTTGGGAGGGTAGCTTGGCCTGAGCCCAGCATCCAGTTCCTTGATTTAAGTTTAATTTAAATACATGCAGAAAAGTCAAGGAAAAAAAGCCTGTGGCACACGCTTTACGATCCCTCTATGCTTAAGTCAAAGAAACCTACAATGGATGCCTAGAAAGTGCAGAACAAGGCCAACGCTCCGGGGCCCAGGACCCAGGGAGGTCCGAGCCGGCAGGACGCCGAGGGCGCGGGGTGCCAGGAGCCGGGGAGGGCGGCGGCTGCGGCCTCTCCCTGCGGCGGCGCCCGCGGCAGTGCCCTTTTATGGAACAGGGTACTTCCTGGATCGTGGAGTGGACCAATCAAATGCAAGCTATGAGCTGATTGGTGCTAAATGGCCCATTCAGCCACAGGATTGAAAATGGTCCAATCAGACTTGTGGGCGGGGCTCCCTGAGGCTATAAGCCAGGGCCACGGCGCTGAGGCAGCGAGACAGACGAGACAGACGGCGGCCCCTGAACGGGCGACGGGAAGAGACGACGGCCCGGGAGGAGGAGGAAGAGACGCTCCCGGCAGCCCGGCCCCACCCGGGGGGGGGGAGACACTGAGCCCCTGCGGGGCGGGGGGGGGGGGACGCTGAGCCCCTGCGGGGCGGGGCCGCGTCCTGCCTGGCGCCCGGGAGCGGCGGTGCGCGGCGTCGCGCGGCCTCCCCCGGCAGCCGTGACGCGGGCGGCCCCCGACCCGCCTCGGGGCCCGGAGGCGGCCGTCGCGACTGGCCGAGCCGGCCGGACTCCGGGGCCCACGTGGCCGTCAGCGACGCCCCGGAGGCGGCCCGGCGAGGCCCCGCGAGCGCCCGCCCCGCCCGGGAGGGGGACCCGGCGGCCGCCCCGGGCGGGCCCTGCAGTCGGGGGTGGGGGTGGGGGGTGGGGGGCGGCGGGCGGGGCTGTCCCCGGCCGGGCTGCTGTCGCCGGCGCAGGCGCCTCCGTTTTGGTTTTGGGCCCTGTGGCAGCTCTTGTCTCAGCACAGGCAGGTGGGCGGCCGAGCCATCCTCCTGCCCCGACTGCCCCGTTTGACGGGAGCGAGGCCTGCCTGGCCCACCTCACACTTGCCGGCCTCTGAGTGGCTCACACTGGCAGGTGGCGGAGAAGACGGCGGGACTAGGGGCGCAAGTGCCTGAAGGGTGTGGACACAGGCCGGTGTGAGGGGCCGGCCAGGCCGAGGCCTGACACAGAAGCCAGAACTGCCTGGCCTGGGAGGACTCCCAGCTGACAGCCGGGCCAACAACTCAGCATGGGGCAGGGAGCCCCAGCGGGTCAGCCCAGGGGGCACAGCGCACTCAGGCAAGGGCCTCCCGGGGTCCTGCCCAGGTCCCCTGGACCCGAGTGGCCTCCTGCTCTGAACCACCAGGCTGTTCTCTCCTCCAAGGATGAGCAAGCGCCCACAAAGCAAGAGCCGGAGGCCATGGTGTCCACTCACACATCGGCTTTAATGCATCACTTACACCTTTATACGGACACACCTGGCCCCTGGGGCGGCCGCACTTGCTGCGGGACAGGAGCCAAGCGGAAGTGTAAGGTCTGAGGAGTGAAGACGCAGAGTTTTCTGGCAAAACTCGTTGTCTGTGGTCAGGATATCCTGGAAATGACCAGCCATCAGCATTTGGTGTTAGCGGTGACAAGAGGAACTTTTCCAGAAAATCCTAAGAGAAAAGTTTTGAGGTAATTGGGACCCACTTTCTGAAATGGCCATGAAGATGCGGAGACCCCGTGTCTCCGTGATCAGCTAAGAGGCTGCTTCCATGGAAACTGACCAAAACTTTAGGAAAAGAAAAACCGCATGCCCAGAGCCCGCAGGGCAACGGCACACACACGGGCTGTGCCAGCCGGGGTGGACCCTGGGGGTCAATCTGGCCCCGTGAGGAACAGCGGCCCAGGGCTGAGGCAGGGCCTCAGGGAGCTGTAGCCCACGTCCCGTGCCTTGGAGGACATAGCATCAGGGGAACCAGCCACTTGGATACTAGACGGGCGATAGTTACTTGAAGCCCTTAGTTTTGAAGATGTGTGAATAGAAACAGCAGACTTCAGAAAACCTGTCCAGTCCAGATTTCCTGAGAGGCCACTGAATTGGGACCCGCTAGTCACAAAGATAAGTGTGGAAAAAAGTGTGGCCTTTAGAGCAGCTGAGGCCAAGGCATGGCCTCTGGAAGACGAGGGCTCCCTCCTGGAGGGCGGGAGGCACCGGCACTGTCCTCCCCTTGGATGCAGGGCGGGCCTCCTGGGTGCCGAAGGCGAGGCCAGGGCAGTGCCTTCCAGGAAGGGCCGAGAGGAAGAAAGGCCACTGGAGAGGGAGCAGGTAGCTGGGAGCGCCAGTGGGGGCCAAACCCCAGATGACGGGGCACAAACCCCCTGCCACTGGAAGCTACTCGGGGGTCTTGGGACCCCAGCCAGTTAGTGACAAAGGCAGATGCAAAGGCTATTTCCTTGTTTACAGCTGGCCTGCCGGAGCGGGAGGCGCGCCAGACCAGCAGAGTATTCCTCATCAAGAGACGCGGATGGTGGCGTCAGGGGCGCTGGTTAAGGTCCGAGCGGGCGATCGCCCGGCGCGAGGGGCTGAGCTAGCAGTGGCTGGAGCAAAGCGGGCGGAGGCGTTCTCACTAATCCTGTCCGTGCGGAGGCGCTGCGACTGCGGCCACAGCGCCGGCACGTGAGGGCCCCTCCGGGTGCTTACACTCCACGAAGAAACGCCAAGGGTCCCGAGACGGGGGCTAGCCGAGGAGGCCAGTGGGCATGAGCAGGTGATCTATGGCCCTAGGGCCTTGGGCAGGGACCCTGCAAAAAATGACACGTGTGAAACGGGGCCCTGGGGCGGCGGCCTGCCTGGTCAACGGGGGTGGGCCAGGCTGCAGAGGGAGCAGATGGAGTGGATGTGCGCCCTGGGTCCGGCCCTTCCCTGACACAGCCTCTGACACGGCCTCGCCACGCACGGGCCGAGCGCAGGTATGTGGGACTCTCTCCGTCAGGCCGCAGAGCTCTCCCAGCGCCTGCCCGATGGCCCGAGCATCGGGGTGCCTGAGCCTGCACGTTCACTGAAGCCTCGCCTGCTCGCGCAGAGCCCGGGACTCAACGTGGCCGTCACGCCCGCACAACGGGGAAGGTGCTTGGCGCTGAGGCAGGGGCTCAGACATCTGCTCAAGCCAGAACAGCTCCTGGCAGGGCAGCCGGGCCACGAGTGTCCTGAAGACCAGGTGCTGTGACTCCCTCAGGAGCTACTGTGCACGGCGGGCTCTGCGGCCAGCACCATTTAAATGCCCAAGAGAAGCGCTGGCTTCTGAAAGTACCTCTGCCTCTCTAAATTACAGTCGCTCCCTAAGAGTTTGAGTGACTCTGTAAGAAATGGCCCCGCACGAGTATCCCCGGAGAGAAGACACTCTCGCGTGAGAAACTGCAGGCCAGAGCCAGGGGCGCGGTGTGGCTGCGAGCCCCCGCGAGCCCCCGGCGCCGACATGCACGGGCCACATCTCTCTCCAATGACACATCCTTCCCGGTAAAGCACTAAATAAATCGATCTTTGAAAAAGAATGATTTTTGTGAAATCTTACTTGAGTTCTTGGGAGCTCGTGGCCAGCATACTCCGGATGCTTTTGTCAGCCAGAGGGCAGCCAGACAGACTGTAAGACAGCCAGAGAGTGGGTGAGCAGGCCCCCCCGGCACCTCCCGGACAGACACGACAACACTGAGGTCAGTCGGATGCAGAGGCGATGGGGGTGCTGTATACTGGCTCTTTGTCTGGCCAAGTCTGTGGACGTGCGCGTGGAGGGCGTCTGCCACAGACAACTTGTTTTTAAAGAGCAGGATCGGGAATATCCGGCTTCTTTGGTTTAAATATGCGAATCGGCAGTTGGTTGGAAAGCAAAAGGCATTATACAGCACACAGGAGCATGCGGGTCGCGGGGCTGGGACACAGGCCGACAGCGGTCTGACAGCATTGTTGAGGTAAGCTGAAAACAATAAATCGAGAAGACAGATCCACCATGAGGGATGAAGTCACACCTTCTATGGGAGGCGTAATTACCAGTCACATGACCACCGCCATCACACCTGGGTGTTGGACATCTGCCACCAGACAAAAACAGAAACAGCCAGAACAGTGAGTAGGTTTGAAAAAGAGACTTTAAAAGTTTCATTGTTTCCAGTTTAGCCGCAATGTCTGCAGGGGTTCAGCGCCCTGGAGAGAAGCCGCAGGATGCAGGGGTTGGTGAGGAGGGTGCCCACGCCACCAGCCAGCGCCAGGCGAGCGGCCCGCGCCCGCCCGACCCGCCGCGGCTGGAGACGCCGCCGCTGTGCACGGCACATGCTCGGGTGGCAGGCGAGTCCAGGCCGCGCTCAGAGCTAAGCCAGAGGAGGGCCCATGAAGAGCGGTGGCCGGGCAGCTGGCCGCATGCTTACGTTATCAGGTCCTTCTTGCCCTCCTTGCACTGCGGGTACTTGGGCTTGGGGCTCGGGATGGTCACCTCCCCGGGATACCGTCTTTCTTCCAGAGCTTCCTGGAAAGGGTCCAGGTCTTCTGGCTGCAGGCAAAACACGGCTTCAGGGCCACCCGGCCACCCGCATGTGGCTCGGGCCCCCCGGCCCCCCAGCACGCGGCCCCGGATGCCTCCCTGGACACGGACCTGGACGAGCACCTCTGGCCTTCCCACCTCTCCCAAAAGACCGGCCCTCTGCAGCCGTGACCCGCTTTTCCCTGACGAGACCCCCCTTTCTACGGTGGGCTTTCCCTTCTTGCCAGCCGCTCTAGGACGCTCGGACGTCGGCCGGGGAATGGCACTGCCCTCACAGGGGCGCGTGCCTGCCCGGCCGCTGGGGGCCACCCTGAGGCCCCTCCTTGCCCGCCACCGGCGCCTGCTCCATGCCGGACCCACACTTTCCTGCCGGGTCGCACACGGCACCAGGCCCAACTCACAGTGGGGCTTTCACCTTCTGCTGGTACGTGCGTTACACACGTGTGCCTTTCAGCCCCCAGGCGGGGAAGACCAACCTCGTGCTTTTAGATCATCCTTATGCAACTGCCTTTTTTATAGAAAGCATCTACTTTTGGTAAATGGGTCCAATTGCAGTAACACAGAAGCTCCTGTAGGTGGCAGTGCTCGGCAAGCCTGCTTCCCCAGGGCGCCCGCTTCCCCTCGGGGTGACAGACAGGCCATAGGGTGGAAACGCTTTTGTCGATTCATGAGGGTTTAATTTTAATAAAAATAAATTCAGAGATTCGGCTACCATGCCTTATTTGGTAATAGCGACTTAAAACTGTAAAAGAGAAAAAATTCTTTGGAATTTAGCTTGCCACTGAGGCTGCAGTCCCGTCACAACGCCTGGATGCTTATATCAATTTGAAGAATAAAGAAAATAGGCCTTAAGATGTAATGGCCTTATAAACAGGCGCCTTCCCTGCCAGTCCCTGCAAAGAGCTGCCTACCACCCCCGTTTCTGTAAGGTGCTGCGGCTTTGATGGCGATCTCCCCGTTTAGGCATAAAGAATTTCCGTTTTCCGATAGAGAAGACGTCATAATTTTCATACTTCAATGCTGGAGAAAAAGTCCAATAAAGAATAAGTTTCTTCATTTCTTTTCTTAGCCTGAAGGATGTTTAAATTATTCTAGTAACTTGAACCTAAACATTGTAACTACTTCAAAGCACTTGGGTGTAGTGTCCTGGGGCCAGGATGACGGCGACTGCCCGGGCGGTCAGTTCCAGGCTGGCATGGCGGGCTTCTCTGCGGGCAGACACGCTTTGTGTCCAAGAGCTGACCAGCAGCCAGCAAGTCACTAGCCACTTAGCTACTCACGCCTCCCACTGTAATTCTCCACCCGCACGCAAACCCCTGAGCTCTGCCAGTGTTCCCCAGAAACGCGACCGGTGTGCCGTTTCTACTTTTTCTTAGAGAAACCGTTTGTGACAAAACACACTTGTTAGGAAACGAAGCTCAGCCTCTAAGGGGAAGAATCTGTCGTCTCACTGAAATGGCTGCCGGTCACAGCGCCTGCCCAGGAGGGCGGGCTCCAGGGCCACCAGCCAGGGAGGGCTGCCAGGACAGGCACGTCCCCGGGGCTGCCCAGCAGGCGGACCCCACTGCAGCTCTGAGACACGGGCCAGCGCGCGGGACGTACGGCCATCTCTTTGGCGTCGTCCTCGTCCACGCGCCGTGGCTTCATCTTGGTGTAGTCCACGGGCAGGTCCCAGCAGTCCCCCTCGCTCAGCTGGAAGCAGCGACTGTTCATGGCTGCCTGCTGCTGGGGTGACATGGGCTCCAGAGGGGTCAGCACGGGGCAGCAGCCCTCACGCGGCCGCTGTTTGTTCATGCTGAGGTCCAGGGTCCCGTTCTCGTCCACTTCCATGTCTGGGTTCTGTGGACAGACAGACACAGTGACCCGCAGCTCCCTCCCCGCCCCGGGCGGCAGTCGGGGTGGGGTCCTCACCGCCCTCCATTGACACAGATCCCCCCAGTGGGCGGTGGTCCCTCTGCACAGCGCCGCCCTCCCCTGCTCAGCTGCAAAACCAGGGGCAGGTGCCGCCACCATCTCTGTCCATCAATCACCTGTCCTCCGTCCACCTGTCCTCCGCACTCGCCTCTCGCCTGTCCAGAACTGCTTTTCTCCTGACTACATCTCTACTCTAGAAATAAACCTGCCCAGAAGAAAATGAAACCAGTGCCCGATTTCAGTTCTATCCCAGCGCAGAAGGCTCCTCCAAGATCAGAAATACGTGTGCACAGAAAACACGCACAGGCACCGGCTGCACCTAGTGGGTGAGCCCTGACGCTCGCACTTCAAGACCCCTCTGGCAGGAAGGGGGGCTAGGACAGGCTCTCAAGCACAAACCCCTGGGACAGCGCGCTCCCACCCAGGAGGGGCCATGCTCGGCTGCCTGGAGGCACAGGGGCTTGTTTCTTTAAAAGATGTTTTGAAACACACCAAGAGCTCAGCCTGGCCTTTGGGGGTGGGGGGAGCAGGGGTGCCTGGAGGGCAGGGAGGGGGCGGCCAGCCCCTCATAATCCCTCCCTCGCCCTGAGTCACACTCTGGAGCAAAAATGTGATTTTCCAGCTGGCATGACGCTGCTCCAACCAACACCCCGCAGCCGAGCTGAGGACGAGGCGGAGGGAGCCCGGGCGACACTGCCCGTGGGGCGTCCAGAGCCTCGGTCTGCCTGGACCCGCGTCAGGGTCCTCGCCCCCGCGGAAGCGCCCACGCTGGGTCCACCTCGGTACGCCGAGGTGATTCTCAGGCTGAGCGTAGTTAGGAAAATGGAGCGGACGCTGGAGGGACTGGTCTCCTTTCTGGGCCACAGGCCCCTCCCTGTGAGCCCCCATCTCAGCGACCTGGTCACCATGGAAACCGCGTGCCCCTGACACTTCCCCAAATTCTGGCATAAAAATATGAATAGAAAAAAAGCGACTGCAAGACACGAAACGCTGACGTGACAACAACCCAGAACAGCCGTGTCAGTGCTGGGCCAAGGGCGGGCGGCTGGGCAGGGGCCTGGCCCGGCCCGCAGACCCTCGTAGTCAGGAGAGGAGGGCTGCCCGCTCTGGCCCCGCCTCCCCGCTCTGGCCCCTGGCTGCGCCACCTAGGGCTGGGGAGGCCGGCAGCCACGGGCGAAGGCCGGAACTTGCAGCCCTGAGCCGCGCGGGTCTCAGCCATGCAGCCCACGGCTGAGGCGTCACCACGGGAGGGGCGGCGAGGCACAGTGCAGCAGGGCGAGCGCCTCGCTGTGACAAGATGACGCGTGTGCAAACAGATCAAAACAACCAGCTGCCTTGACAAGCCCAGGGCTGCTGGTCACCCCTTGGTGCCCTTGATGCTTGTGGGCTAGGAGGGCGTCTGTGCCGGCCGGATCCTCACTGTCCTGCACCTGCATGGTGGCCTGTGGGCATGGCCAGGGCCTCCTGAACCAGACCCAGCCCTCGTGGGGTAAACGCACGTCCCCCCTTTACCTTCCTGCTCAAGGCTGTGGGTGTACAGCCATGGTTCCAGACCGTAAGAGGAGGCCGGGGTACTAGCCCCGCCGAGTGGCCTGGCTCCCAGACCGCCCTTGGCCCCTGCCCCGCCCCCCCAACGGGCCCCGTACCCGGGCAGCACACAGGTCCTGCGGCTTGGTGGACAGGTTCTGCGGCATCTCACGGCAGCGTGTGGACAGGTTGAGGATGGCCGTGGCCGCCATGTGGGCAGCCTCCACGTCATGTGTGTAGTCGAAGCTGCTCTTGCTGCAGGTGCTGCTGGCGCTGCTGCCGCCGCCGCCGCCCAGGGTGCTGCTGCTGCTGGGCGCGTAGCTGCTGGCGCTGCTGCTGCTGGGGCTGGCGTTCTTGCAGTACCGCTTCGCTGGGGGGACAGGGGGTGACTCGGCCGCTGTCCTGGGGCCGTGCGCCAGCCCCAGCCCCAGCCCGCGCCCTCCGGCCCAGGGCCGCTGCCCGCCCTGTGCTGCTACCCAGCCAGGCACAGAGGCGACCCTAGGGACAGCCCCGTCTCGCGGCCCAGACGCTGGTCGCTCCCGCCCTCAGGAGCGCCCAGGGCCGGAGACGCCCCAGGTCCTGAACCACCGGGGGCCACGCCTCTTGTGTTCCATCCTGGGGCGCACCCAAGAAAGCAGCCAGGACACCCCTTCTGGCAGACAAGCCCCAGCAGTCCTGGCCGCAGAGGCCCTGCAGGTAGGGGAGATGGCGGAGCCGTGCACCTGACGGCCAGGTGCCTGCAGCCCGTCCACGCCCCATCGGGACATCTGTGGTCTCCTGCAGGAGCACCCACTGGACACCCCTGGACACAAGCGTTGCCCAGGCCATGCGGGCTCGTGCTCACAGGCGCCCTCCCACCGCTACCCGGGCTGGGAGCCGAGCCTGCAGAGGGGGCAGGCGCACCCGGAGGCCATGCACCCCGAGCACCCACATGTTCCGGCCCTGGCCCGGGCAGTGCACCTGGGTGCCCTCACCTTCCCAGGTGCTCAGCCCACCAGAGACAGTGGGGTGGCCAGTCTGCTCACGGGTCCTGGGCCTGCTGGCCCCGCCAGCTGTGGTAACTCTGGGGGTTACTGTGGGTCCCCAGTCGTGGATGAGTCTGGGGTCACTGCACCCCCACCCCATGCTTCCCCCCAAGGGCAGAAGGCAGTGCACCCCACAGGCCAGTGCGCCGGTCCCCGTGGGCGCCCCGGGAGGTACCCATGCCCCTCAGTCAGATACAAGCAAACAAGAGCCACACCCCGATCTTCACCGCAAGCGGGGCTCCCCACACAAGGCCGCACCCCACACCCAGCACCTGGGCAGCACCCCGAGAGCAGGGCCTCACAGCGGGACCCAGCCCGGCACCCACGCGGGCCCCGGGAGCGAGGCCACGCTCTCCTCCCCTCGCGGCCAAGGCCCGGCCTGCCCAGGGCGCCCTGCCCATCCCACGGCTCTCCGCGGGGCGGTGGCTGGGATGGAGCCGCGGGTTCCACACCAACAAGAAAATGAGTTTTGTTTGGAAATGAGTGAATTTCAGTTTCTACAGGAGAGGAGGGGATGCCCGTGCCCCCACCACAGCCCCCGGCAGGTGGCCAGGACATCGCTCGGGCCTTCTGCCCTTTTCCTGAAACGCTGACACCTGGTCGGGGTGAAATAAGCGTCTCTGCGTCGGCGCGGGAAGGAGCCCTGGCCCTGCCTGGCAGCTGCGGCTTGGCTGGCTCCTGCTTGGAACAGGCCCACCCAGCTCTGCGTCTGCGCGGCTCTGACCCGGCCGTCCCGGTGCGCAGCACTGATGCCCCACCTCGGGGGCTGCTCCACCGCGCGGCGGCAGCAGGGACGGAGCGCGCTTTCTTCACTTGTGCAAACTCCTCCCTGCCCCTACCCACGCCCCTGCACATGGGGACACCGTGTCTCTTGGGGGCGCGCACGGGCCGCCAGTGCCCACTCCCGCTGCAGGTCACTCCCCGAATTGGCCATCAGCCCCAGCTTGCGCTCCTTGCCCCACGCTGGCCTCCTGTATGCAAGCACCGCCCCACGGCAGATGACTCCCCGCAGAGGGAGCCCCAAGGAAATCAGGCAGAGGGAACAGGCCATGGAGACCCGCGCCGGAGGCACCCCAGGCCCCAGCCCAGGCCTTGGCTCAGGCCCTGCTGGGCCAGCACTGACCTCTGCTGGGGGGCAGCGCCCTCTGGGCTGGCTGGAGTGAACTGTGGACAAAGAACCCCCAACAGGACACAGGGGCTCCCTCCTAGCTCCCGTGTGCTGAGTGGATGGAGTGTCTGCGGCCCCTGACTGCTGGAGGGAGCTGGGTAGGCCCGGCGGTCAGCAAGACTCAGGAGGGCACGGGCAGTGAAGGGCCGGGGAGGTGGGGAGCCCTGAGCTCGGAGAACTGGAAGGGAGCCCCGGAGAGGGTCCAGCTGGTGGAGGGCCGCCCAAGCAGGCGGCAAGGCCCTGAGTACAGGCGCCCCAGTCATTGGGATCTGAGTTCACATCATTTTCGTGTCGCAAACCCCGGCTTTTCTTTTCTTTCTTCCCTAGTTACTTAAATGGGTGAAGGCCGTTTGCCCAGGCCGCAGCACTCCCCGGTGGGCCTGAAGAGCTGGGAGGGAAAGCCCGCCTTGCCTGTCCTCGTCCCCCAGCTTCTGGGCCCCTGAGTTCACTCTCGCCCTGGGCGCACCTCAGTCTTGCTCTCTGGTCGGCTGAGAAGCCAGCCCCAGGCGCCCCACAGAGCCTCCAGGAGTATTCTCATGCTCCTCTGGTCCCCTCAGACCTGAGAGCTTGGTGGGGGAAGGCCCATCCCCACGAGCCCCCAGGGAGCCGACAAGGGCAGCTGGTGCGCCCACTCTCAGCCGTGCGCGGAAAAGCCACAGCACCCCAAGAGGGTGACTTCAGCCCCGTGGGGTCCCCGGCCCCTGCAGTTCCCTCTGTTCTTAGGCCAGAGGCCAGCCCAGCCCCAGGCCAGGCAGGTGCGGGCGGCCAGGGCCGTCTCAGCAACGCCGCCGCCCGTGGCCTTTCCGAAGAGGCTTCCTGGCTGTGACCCTTCATTTCAAGCGAAGCGATGGAAAGGTAACAGACCTGAAGTCGGGAAGTTATTACCACAAAATAAGCCAGCAAGCAAGGGTAACTGCTCTCTGTTACCCCCACAACCGCCCCTGACCCCTTCGCACCTTGGCCCTAAATATCCAGGGCCGACACGCGCAGAGGCCACCGGCATGGCAGGCCTGGTGCCAGCCAACAGCAGGCTCCGCGCCACACGAGGCCATGGTTACAGAGCAAGGGACGCCTGGCACAGCCTAGGAAGGTGTGCAAATTCATGTCACCTTATCAAAAGATGCTGAAATTCCCCAAGCATGTAAGTGAAATTTTTGTGTGTTGAGATTTCAATTAAATATTTTTTACAGAGTGGAGCTTGAAGATCTTTAAGAACCTGTCTCCTCACCTGCCTCTGCCGGAGATCACCAAGGCGAGACCATTAAACCCTCCGAGTGCACCCATGTCCCAGTCAGTAACATCTGCCGACTAAGAGCCCCAGAACTTAGAGGAGCAGCTTAGGTGAGCGGCACCTAAGGACACAGCCCTCGCTGGGCATCATTCATCATCAGACCGGGGTGCAGGGGCCCACCCCAGGGGTGCGGGGAGCACGCACCCCCAGTGCAGGGAGGGCTCAGCCCCGGGGTGCAGGGAGAGCTCAACGAGTGCACAGATCTGCCCTTCTCCCAGGGGCCGTCCTAGGGCTTAGTGGGTGCCCAGGCCCAGTACACGGCCTGGGACGGGGGTCCTGAGTGTGGGTCACCACCAGACAGCAGGCCCAGGGCTCAGCTCTGGGGAGAAGCGGGTAGGGCCCCCCCGATGCGGCCGGGGTCCCCAGGGGCACCTGGGCTGCGACGTGCCGCCCCCTTCAGATCCGCACCAGGGCTGTGCTGGGCATGCAAGATGGTGCCCCCAGGGAATGACTCGGGGTGTCCCGGCTCCCACAGGGGCCTCCTTTCTCTGTGTCTCCCCATTCACGCAAAAGGTTGGGAACCCCAAGTGGGGGGGTGGCCCTGCCTCCACCGTGGGCGGAACACCCTGGAATGGGAGGGCCGGGTACCCCCGCCCGCGTGAGCCCCGCGCCCACCCGCGCGGGAACCAGACACAAGACAAGAGCATTCACGGCAGACGAGCGAGGCACGTAGAAGCGTGTGCACCTCCTACCATCGTATCCTTTGGGGGCTATGTCCCTGCTCTGCACCTTGGGGGCTATGGCCCGCTTGCCGTACGTGTGGCTCTCGAAACTGTTGTATTCAAACGAGGTCTTGGAGTATTTCTCGAGCTCCTTGGCCAGGTTGGAGCGGGGTGTGGCGGTGGGCACGCTGTTTCTGTAGCCGTAGTGCGGGATCTCCAGCTGCTTTACAAAGCACATGGGCCTGTGAGCGAAGAAGAGAGGCCCAGCTGCTTCGCTACGTGGAAGCACCGCGGGGCCCGCACCCCGCACGGACACCGTCCAGACGGGCCCGTCCAGACACGCCGCCGGCAAGGGAGACAGAACATAAACGCTTTTGAGTGTTTTCTTTTGGGCGTGGGTGGACGGCCGGGGCACGAGGATGGCCCTGCTCACTGCCTTCCCAGGGCCACGCCGTCCCAGGGAAGGGAACGGACGAGAAACAGCCCCCAAAACCAGAAGAGACAAAAGAAACGCCTGCAGGAACACAGGCTGAGACGGATGAAGCAAGAGTCTATATACTCGGACAAGAACTGGGGTGTGGAGCGGATGGTTCTAGCAAACACCACAGGGACGTCCCCTCCTACTGCCCTTCCTCTGCACCTGGGAGCTCAGATGGGGACGATTCCGTCCAGCTGTGTCCTAGCTGGTTCTGTGTCCACCCCTCACCTAGCCCGCAGGCATCTGTCCACTCAGCAGGCCATGGTGGCCCCCCTTGCCCGCACCCCCAGGAGGCCTTGGCAAGGACAGCAGGTGGCTGCGTCACTGGACTCTCTGGCCCGGCTGCTGCTTCACCCCACAGCAGCAGAGACTTCACTTGGGGCACGTGATGCAGCCGCGTGGGAGCTGGCCCTCGTCAGGCAGGGTGCAAGCTCTGTCAGTGCCTGAGTTCTGGGGAGCAGAGGCCGCGGACTGGGAGGGTTGCTTCACGAAGTGGGGAGGTGGCGTGGGAAGCGCTCTGCGGTGGGCGCCTAGGAAGGGGAGCAGCGGGGTCGGGGGGCGGGCAGCAGCTGCCTGGAGCGTGGGCGCCACATCAAGGCCAGAGGCTGGGTCAGGGTCAGCCCCTGCCTGGGTCAGGATTAGCCGGAGCAGCGCAGGCTGGAGGGCGGGGGAAGCTGAGGGCAAAGGGAGGCTGGACCCGAGGCCAAGGCCAGGTCCCTCAAGGGGCTGAGAACCGGACAGGTGGGGGCGCTTCAGCCTCAGCGCTTGCCAGGCAGCCAAGCAGAGGCCTTGACCAGTCAGGCTGCAGGTCCAGCGTCTGCCCTCCTCCTCTCGGGGCTGGGTGCGGGGGAGCAAGAGCACAGGGAGCGGGGCCGGGAGAGGGCCTCATCCAGACAGCCTGAGGCGGTGGACAGGGGCCCCTCCCGGCCATGCCCCATGCCCGCGCGGGCGCCGGAGGTGACGTGTCAGCACAGCAGGGCCGTGTTGCCTGATGTCTGCCTGCCGCCCGCGCGGGGGCCCGAGGCCACGGGGACAGGTCGGCTGCGTCCCCTCAGCGCTGCCGCGATAGCCAGAAACGGGCCGCCACTGGCCCCGGGCAGGGCTGGGCCGGGAAGAGGGGGCTGCCCACAGCGCGGATGCCCTTCAGCCTGCGCTCCACAGAGCAGGAGGACGTCGCGGACATGAGGTGCCGTAAAGGGAAAGATGAGGACAAGCCTTGGACGTCGCCTTGCGGGCAGCTCCTCAGCTAGTGGGCGCCTGCGCGGCTGAGGCTGACGCTGGGGGGTCGGGGGGGCTCACGTTCCGGCCCCGCCCAGACGGACTAGTGTCTGCGCTGGGGCCCGGTGGGGGGCTCTAGGGGCCGGGCCGTGTGGGCGAGGGCAGCCGAGGCCCCGGTGGGGGGGCCTGAAACTCCATGGGAAGATCTGGGGCGCCGGCTGCTGGGGCCTCTCTGAGTGGGGGCGTCACGCGTGCCCTTGTGTCCTCCTCTCGGGAGGGCAAAGGGAGTTTCGCTGGTGAGACCTGTGGGAGCGGCGGAATCATCCACAGCGGGACCCAGAGAGGTTTGTATCATTTGCCCCGTCGTGTTTTCCACGTGATTTACCGCAAACAGAGCACTTAACAAGGCCCGTACGCTGTGCGGGCGTGTGCGCGTGGCGGGTTGGGTGTGCGCGGGCGCTGTCGGGCACACGGCACCCGTGGCCGGTGGCTGGAGTCCGCACACGCGCGCGGCTCCCTGGGTCTGCCCGGGGGTCCGTCGCCGTGGAGACGCCTGGCGCTCACACGCAGGGACGGAGGCGGCCAGGGTGGCAGCCAGGAGAGGGCGGCCGGGGGCGGATGAGGCCGCCGGCCCCTCCTTGGAGGCTGCTGGGCAGGTGAGAGGCTGTCGGGTGCCTCTTGCTCCCCCCACCCCCTGCTAAACGCCTGAAACGCAGGGCGGGGGCGGCGCTGGCTGGGTGTTCCCCGGCCAGCGGGACGCGGCAGGACGCCGGTCAGCCTCCTGGGCTGGGCTGCCGGGCCAGCCTCGCCTCCTCCCGGGTCGGGACACGGGGGCAGCAGCTTGAGGCCTCTGCATTTCCCAGGCACCCAGCCGCCTCCTGCAGGTTAGGGCGCAACTACCCTGGGCTTGACTTTCATCTAGCATTTGGAGAACCAGGAGCCCTCAGGCGAGAAAGAAAAGCAGAAACAACAAGGTCCACGTCTCTCGTTTGGGAGCTCGCAGTGGGTGGAGGAGGTGCCCGCCCCAGGCCCCCGGCCCCTAGACCCAGGCAGGCCTGACCAGGAGCCCCCGGGGACCCCAACCCCCGGCTCCGCCCGTGGCGGCGCCTGTGGTACCTGAGCACGCGGTCCGAGGCCTGCTGGGACTTGGGCACGTCGCAGCTCTGGTGCTTCTCCTGGGCCTTCGCCAGTTTCTCAGCTGCAGCGATAGGACACCCAGACAGGCTGCAAGGACAGGGAGGCTGTCGTTCCTCCCGCGGCTCTGAGGTGCCCGACGCATCACACACTCGCGCCCCCGCCCCCAGCAAGGCCTCCGGGTGCCCCCGAGCAGGTGGGGCTGTCCTGGGGGGGCTGGGGGCAGCGGGTCTCTGCGGGTGTCCTCTGGGCCGTGCTGACGGCCACCAGGAGACGAGCTGGTGGCAGCTTCGGATGAGGGGGACAGGCGCACCTCTGGGGACAGGAATTGTGGGGGGACATTCCGAACAGCAGCTCCGACGGACACCAGGTGTCTGGGGCCTTGTGGGCCGCCAGGCGGTGGGTCTCGCGCCCTGACGCCTCCAGGGAGAGAAGCGGAAGAGGGAGCGGGGCATCCCTGTGCTGACTGACAGGAAGAGGCTCTGGAGGCAAACGGCTAGGGGGCAGCAGTCGGCCCCAGGGGCTTCAGGGCGTTCATGGCGCCATCCCTGTGCCCAGCATGTGGCGTGGATGCCCAAGGTGTGTCCCAAGGGGGCAGCCATGGGGCATGGGCGGAGGGCAGACGCCCGCCTTGCCAGCAGCCTTCGGCCTGCAGATCAAGCTCCCTGCGCCCCCCCGGGGCAAAGCGCCATTGGCCACGACTGACCCGAGGCGGTGGCCGAGGCCAGAGTGAAGCTGCCCTGCTGGGCTGTGACAGCTCGCAGGCTGAGGCGGGAGCTGCAGCCGAGCGAGGGTTAACAGGACACGCCTGGCCACGCAGCTGAGTGCGTGTGGCAGGGGCAGCAGGAGGGACATGGGGGACGGGCCCTCGGGGGTGCTGCTGGTGCCATGTCAGTCCACACTGGGGCCTGGTTCTGCAGCAGCCCTGTCCAGTCGCCCGCCCCTGGCCTGCTGTGCGGACCTGCCCTGCGCGGCCTGCAGGGCTGCCCCACACCTGAGGCCACGGGCCCCTGGGGCTGCAGATGGCCACGGTTGCCTTCCACAGCAGCCTCTGAGGGCACCTTGGGCCCCGCAGCCTGCAAGGATGCTGCCCACAGGAGGCTCCCTCGCCAGCCCCAGGACCCCAAGGCCGCCGGCCGCGCTCACCTGCGGTGCGAGTTCCTGTTGCTGTTCACGTGCCCTCGCCCTGTGCAGCCGGGGGTGGGACACTTGAGGACGTTTTCATGCATGGCGAGGACTTGACAAGGAGAGCAGAGAAACAGCGGGTTACAGCGCGGCAGCGCCAGGCAGCGTGTCCACACAGGCTGGGTGCTCACAGCGGACAGCCCCGACACTGGCGATGGGCATGGCGTGGACACGCGTGGGGGACGAGGGCACCTCGCCTGGCCCTAGCTGGCCGCCACGTGGGCGAATGGACGGGGGCCGGGCCTCAGTGAAACCCCGCACTGGAGCCCTGGGGCACCCCTACAGACAGCAGGGAGCCCTGGTCTGAAACACCTGCTTCTGGCCGGAGCTGGGGCGGGAGGTTGGTGAGCAGTGAGAGACCCTAGCCTCGGTTCAGGTGAACTCAGTGAGCTCCGGGTTTTCATCGAGAAGCTGCTGCTTTGTGGGCCCTGGCGGTGCTCAGCCGGCCTCGGGGCTGGCCTCTGGGGGGAGCCGGCCGCCTGGCATCTGTCCTGACCTGGAAGCGCCTCGCCCTGGCGAGTACAAGGCGGGGGGCCAGCCGGGCTCCCCATGCCTGAAAGCAGAGCCTGCACCAGCTCGTCCGGGGCGCCCTGTCCACTTCTCCCTCCTCCAGCACGGCTGGCGGGGGCCACCGAAACCCGGTCTGAGCGGGGCTGTCCTTCCTGCACGCCGCCATCTCCTCACTGCCCACTCCCCAAAGCAGGCCCACGCGGTCCCTTCCCAGGGACGGCCTGCGTGAGCTCAGGGCAGCCCAGGAGGCCTCCGGCCCTGGCCCCAGGCTGGGCTTCCCTCACGAGGCCTCTCCTGTGCTGGGCCCTGGCCCCTTCCCCTGGGAGGGCGCCCTGGGGACTCTGCTGGGTCCCTCTCACTGCTGTGCTCTGTGGCTCTGGCGCGGGGGGGGCAAATGGGGTGTAGGTCACTTTACTGGGTTTGACTGGGGGCGAGACGAGGGGGAACCTGCCCAGAGATTGCTCAGAAGTGAAAAAGAAAAGCAGGCATGCCCTGCAGGGGGGGCCCCCCGTTGCTGTGCCCTGTGGGGGGCCATTGCTATGCCCTTGGGGCTGTGACAGAGGGTTTCTGCAGGAGAGCGGGTGGGGGGCCCTCCATGTGCGCTCCGGCCTCTGTGGCTGAGCCTGAGCCGCAGGGTGTGGCACTGGGAGCAGCAGTGGGCGTGGGAGGGAGGATGTTGTGCTGCGGGGTGAGAACGCAGGCTCTAAAGGAAACCACACGAAGAAGCTTGTCCTGAAACGCGGCGCCTGTGCCTGATGCTGTGGCCGGGACACGGAGCGCGGCGGGCAGGTCCCGGCAGGACGGCCGGGCTTGGGGTTCAGGCAGGTGTGGCCTGAAACCTCCTCCTGGGACGTGCTGAGGCGAGATGACACCTGCTCAGGTGAGTTCAAACAGCGTGAGCCACCCCTCCCGGCACGAGCTACCCCGGGGCCTGCGTGGCCTGGGAGCGCAGGGCCGGCGCGGCGGGGCAGGGAGCGGGGGCGGCCTCGGCCGGAAGCGGACATGCTGCCCTCATGTAACACACGGCGGAGACGCCTCCGGCCTGCACCTGCGGGACAGCCCGCCCTGACCTCGGCGCCGCCTGACGTGGCAGCCGCCGTGACGGCTCTGGCAAGTGCCCCCTGACGGCTGCCGTTGCCTTTCCTGAGCCGGCCACCGCCGGCCCGTCCCGCAGGGGCCTCCCAAGAGCCCGTCCTAACGGACGTCCTGGGGTCCTGTCGCGTGCCTGTCCACCTGTCCTGCCTCGGGGCTTCCCAGCAGGGAGCCGGGGCGCAAGCACTCCTGCCTGGGCGCGCAGGGCGGGCGGCATGGGGCGCCGAGAGGGAGCAGCGCGGAGGCGGCGCTGAGCTGCTCGCGCGGGTTGACAGCGCGTCTCGGCCTGACTGGCCCAAGGGGTGGGCGGGGCCTGAGCCTGTTTCACCTCCGTGTCAGGTCTGCCGTGTGGGACTGTGGGGCCGCTGGACACGAGACAGACGTCACGAGCACAGTGGGGGAGGCGGGGCTGGGCATGGAGTCGGGTCGTGGGGCCAGGCCCCAGGGCTGCTGGCCAGCAGGTGGCACGGAAGGGCCGCCCCGGGCGTTGGCCAGCTGCCTGCCGCGAGGCGAGGGCACAGCCGGGCGGGAGGGCGGGCAGCCCCTCGGCCCGGGGCTCGCCAGCGAGGGCGCACGAGCCGTAGATGGAAATGACAGAGGTGGGAGGGTGATGAGACAGGGCACAGGTGCGCCGGCGGCACGCACTTACTTTCTGGAGGGACCCTATCTTTGTGCGGGCATCCGGACAGGCTGCGGTGATGCGGGTACAGGCCAGTCACGTGCCCGGTTCCATCGCACCCCGGGGTTGGGCACTTGCTCTCTTTCTTTTCTGTTCTCGAGGGATCTAAAAGCGACAACAGGTGTCAAGAGAACGCACTTTACCAGCGAAGTCAAGGTGCCCCCAACGCTCTGAAGACCTCGCGGGCCGGGCGTCACCCTGGGCGGGTCTTTGGTTTTGGGTGATTTTTGGACCTCGAACAGCATAATCACAAATCATCCAATATTTTGCTTTCTAGACTAACGACACAAAAAGACTGTCCCTTAACGTGTGTTACATGACAAGCCACTCAGAGAAACCCACGCGAGCCGTGAGGAGACAGTGGCCTTCTTGGAGACAGGGCCAGCGCTCAGTGGGGCTGGCGCTGCCCCATGCACCCACCCAGCGCGTTCCGACAAGCCGAGCTCTCAGAAGGCCCCGTAAGCAATGACCCCGTGGGGGAGCCCCCGGCGGCGGCGGTGGCGATGCCTCAGAAGCGCTGCGGCACCAGGCGGCCCCTTCCCTGCGCGCGGCCAGAGCAGGCTGCTGGGCGCATGCACACGGGCGGGCGTGGGGGGGCCGGTGTCAGCGGCCGCAGCAAGGCAGCGCCTGGAGGGCAGGGCGGCGGGCAGATGCCAGAGGCCAGGGGCGCGGGGGGCACTGACAAAGCCACCTCCATGCCCGGAACCGACCGCAGCCCCACGTGCAGAGAATGACTCAGGACAGAAGATTAAGCTCAGGCCAAAGGCACCGAGTGTGGGAAGAACCGGCGACGGCAACGGAAACGACGGCTGGCGGGGGAAGCCCCGGCCTCACTCCTGCGCCGCCGCCGGGACAGCCCTGAGGCGCGAACACGCGTCTCGCTCTCGCCGCAAGATTCACTTTCTCTCAGGATAAATTAATGTTCCAGGCGTTTGAGTTGTGACATGCGAAGGCCCCTCGGAGCCGCTGCCGGGCCCACAAGAGGCAGGAGCCGGGGCGTGGACCTGGTGCCCCCTGAGTGCCCGCGCAGCCTCGGGCCAGTGCCCGCCCTGGTTGGCCGGGGCCGCACACCAGGCTGCTTGGCTCGCCGACAACCCCCGCGAGGTCGCCTGGTCCAGCTGCGAGCTCTCCCTGCGGGGCTGCCCGCCGCGTGGCCGTGGCTGCACGTGAGCCGAGGGACCCACGTGGCGAGGCCGCGACAGGGTAAATGTGCGGTTTCAAGGGAAAACCCATTGTTTAAAACGGTGGCAAGAGACGCAGCCCTCGCGGGCAGGGACCTCGGGCTCTGCCGTGCCAGCGGGTTGGCTCTCGCTGGCTCTTGGGGGCCCCGGCCGGCACACGGTCCCGCGCGCAGTGCGGCTATTGCCCTTTGAGGACGGCAGGCTGTGTGCGGGCGGGAGGAAGGCCCCTGGACAGCCTCGTCATCATGGAGACGTCCTCCCTTACCCCTCAGGTGCTTTTGGGGCTGGGACACCACATCCTCTGCTGGGGGCAGCCCTGGGGCCAGTCGCTCTTGCCCTGGGGACCCAGCACCTCTTTGCCCCCTGGGGTCCTTACTGGGTTTTATTTATTTGGTTTTGGATAAAACTACACTTTAGAAAGAAACTTGGGGGCATGTGGCACAAGCTGGCAGGAAACAGACTTTGACAGGGGGATGACCTGGCACTGGGGCGGGCAGGCTCACTGGAAGGCTCACCTCGGCGCTGGCGCCTACCCCCGTCCATCCGGGGACATGGGCAGTGCGGCCTCCATTTCTCACAAAACGAGAAAGCAAGACAGAAGCGACAGCAGGATAAAAAGTCGAAATCTCCAGAAAACGCCCAGGTTGAAAAGCAGCTCGGCCGAGGCCGCCTGACTAAAGGCCGCCTGCCTGCCACGCCGGGGAGCCCGCAGTGGCTTGGGCACACTCCCGAGCACACGCAGTGTGTGGGCATCCCGCCCTGTCCAGCTGCGCCATGCAGGAGGGCCGCGCGTGCCTCCCTGGGGTTCATTCCCCTCTGAGTCACGGACACCCCTGGAGACGGAGGGGGGTGGCAGGGGACCCAGCACTTGTGCGGGCTGGCCTGGGGTCCCCTGGCACGGGAGGGAGCCCACCATGGCCCCACCTGGGCCTCCACGTCCAGGCGCCCCCGCCCTGCCGGGCCTGGGCCTCCGGCCGAGTTCGCCCTGGACTGGGCCCCGCGCGGCTGCGACAGGACACACCCCCGCGTCCTGAGGACAGAGAGTACCAGGTGAGCAAACCCAGGACTCGGGAGGAGCAGGGGGAATGTGGGCCACAGGCCCCGTTAGCAACACCCAGGGGTGCGGCGGCCCCAGCGCTGTCCACAATGGCTTCCTCCTCGGAGCAGGCCCCGACTGAGGCGCCGAGGAGCGACCCCGGCTAAGGGACACGGGCCCCTCTCGACGGCAGCTGCTCCTCGCCGCCCTCTGCGCTGCCCCGCCCACCCGCTAGCTGGCTTGGGTGTTTCTACAGGCGTCTGGTCAGCAGCGTCCTCCGGTGACCCTGCTCAGGTTGTGACCCCGGGCAGCCGACGCCCAGCCCCGTCTGCGCGCTCCTGCCCCGCGGCACCAGCCCTGCCGCAGCCTCTCCGTCCCGCCCAGGGGCAGGCTGCGCCACGCACGCCCTCGCTCAGGGGCCCCAGAGGCCGCGCCAGCGTCCCGGCGTCCACTCGCAGGACCAGGTGCCGGGACGGAGCCGCCTGCGGCCACTGCGTGCCCTGGCGCCCGCGCCTCCCATAGGCACACGCGTTACCTTTACCATAGTATGGCTTTCGGGCGTGGCTGTCGCCGGGCTTGGGCTTCCTGTCCTCCCCGGGCAGCGCGCGCGGGGACTGCTCCTCGTAGGGCCGCGCCGGGTCCCGCCGGCCCGCCTCCAGCGCCATCTTCTCCCTCATGGCCTTGGCGCGCTCCGTCTCCAAGGCGATGGCTTTCTCCAGGAGGGTCAGGTTCCCCTTGGTCATGTCAAACACCTCCTCGGACCGGTCCGAGGTCACGGAGGTGGTGTCGTCGTCCCGGTCCGGGAAGCCGTCGTCCTTGGCGCAGCCGGAGAACGTCCGGGCCCTGGGGCTCAGCTGCTCCTCCAGCCGCATGAGGTTTGCCATGTCGGAGTAGCTCCGGTCGGGCGTGCGGCCCGGGCACTCGTCCTCCGGTCGGCCGTGCGGGCGCAGGCCCGGCCCCTGCGGCTGCCCGCGCTCCTGCGGGCTGCCCTCGCTCAGCTTGCGGGCCAGGTCGAAGCACTGGTTGCGCAGACACTCCAGGCTGCTGAGGCACACCTCCTCGTCGCTCTCCTCCACCGCCGCCTCCGCCAGCCCGTTGCTCCCGGGCCTACCCAGCACCACGTAGCCCAGGCCCCGGCCGTCCTGCGGGGCCAGGGACTCGGCGTAGCCCCGCTCGCCCACGCCCTCCGACAGCACCACGCCGTGGCCCTGCGCCAGCAGCTTCAGCGAGTCCACGGTCTCCCGCACCACGTCGCTGTCCAGGTCCAGGCTCAGCTCGGCCTTGCGGCCCAGCGGCTCATTCTTGTCGCTGTCATCCTCCAGGCTGTGGGAGGTGCTGCTGTTCATCTCCGACTCGGTCCTGGCCCGGAAGGCCGCGTCCTCCGCGATCTTGCCGAGGTTCAGCAGCGACTTGGCCACCAGCTCATCGTAGTTGTCGTACTCCTCCTCCTCGTGGCGGTCCTTCTCCACCGCCTGCGCCAGCCGGGCGCTGTGGCCGTTCACGTGGGGGTCTTCTGCAAGGAAAATAGAAGAGAGGACAAGAAAGGAGAGAAAAGAAAACGTGGCTAGAACGCGGGTCCGCTCGCGAGCCCTGGGCGGGCCAGGGCTGAGGCCGGCTCCAGGGGGGCGCAGCTGCCGGTCTGTCCCGCCCGTCGCCCTGGGGGAGCCCCAAGAGACGCTGCTAAAACAGCAACTGCCCGTTGGCTCTGGCTTTCCCATGAATTTGCTCTCCGCACCAGCTCCCACACTGGCAGCCCAGACACTGCCCCGGGCAGCCACCCCTAGACTCGCACTGGGCACGCACAGGTCCACAGCCAGGCTCACAAGCAAAGCTCAGGTCAAGGGCAGCCTGTGGCCGCCCAGGTGGCCCAGTCAGAGCCCACGCTCGGGGCAGCGTATTTGGATCCGGGCCCAGAGACCACTGATCGTATGTCGTAGGGGAGCCCAGGGCGCTCTACTGAAGGGTTGGGGGTGAACCTGGTAGTGGGTCCTGGGCGTGCCTCCCGCAGGCTGGGGACAGGTGCAAAGGGCTGCAGGGTGCAGGAGCTGGGCACGCGCCAGGGTGGGACCGTGTGTCTGAGCTCATGGCCGGCCTCTAAAGAAAACCAGCAAAGCGGAGACCACGTGGGAACAGCCGGAGCCACCTGTTTCGTCTGAAACATCCTGTTGCACACTACGGGGCCCTGGGCCTGGGCTTGCCCCAGGCAGGATCCCCACAAGAAGGGTGGCGCCCATCTTGGCCCTCAGCAGTCCCATCCGGCCCGTGGGCCACGTCCCACCCTTAGCTTCTGTGATCAAAGCCCGTGAACCCTCCTCTAGATGAGGCGTGCTGACGAGCAGGGAGGATCTGCCTGGCACGGTCTGGGACCCAGGCTGTCTCCGCAGAAGGGCCTTCTGTGGCTGCAGAGGCCTGGTCATCGTGGGCCAAGGACAGAAGCGCCCCCACCCATAGCCCAGCCAGAGCCTGCAAGGCTGGTCGCTGTGTCTCGGGGCCCAGGCATGGCCAAGGCCATTTCCCTCCATGACGCCATGTGTCCTAGGGTCAGGCCCAGGGCCAGGTTGCAGCCAGAGAGGTGGTGGCGGAGCAGGGTACGCAGCCCAAGTCCCAAGGCCGAGTCGCCGTCCCTGGGGAGGGGAATGGAGCCAGCCACGTCCTCACAAGCTGCCCCACAGGGAGCTAGGACGAGGAATGGGCGCCATGGCCCCGGCTCGCTGGGCAGCACAGCAGGCACTTGCACTCGGCCCATGCGGTGGGGGCGCGGCTGCCCGCCATGTGGCACTGGCCGTGGCTGGCCTCGGGAGCAGGGGACGGGCTGGCACCGGCTGTTTGTGGAGAAGTCCTGACGGTGTGTGGGCATCTGGCCAGGCAGCCCCCTGCAGTGGTTCTGTCTGGGTCCCTAGGCCTGCGGGACTGTGACTGAGGTGGCCACGGAAGGGGCCCTGCTACTGGAGCCAGCCCCTCGGCCGCGGGAGCAGCAGCAGGGGGGCCGGCATCTCCCGTGGCTCCACCAGGTCCGTTGTGGCTGTCGGGCCGCAGAGCCCTTTTATGCAACCCCTATTTCCTGGATCGCGGCATGGACCAATCAGGTGCGAGCTATGAGCGGATTGGTGTGAAATGATCCAACCAGCCACAGGATGGAAAAATGGTCCAATCAGACTTGTGGGCGGGGCCCCCTGAGAGAGAATATAAGCCAGGATCAGCGGGAGCCGAGAGACAAACCCTGAGGGAAGAAGCAAGAAGGCGAAGGCTCTGCTCCAGGCCTCGGAGGAAGGAGAAGAGGAAAAGCAGGCGCCCCCCGAGGAGGGGAGGCAGCGAAGGACTCTGCGGGGCGGGGCCGCGTCCTGTCTGGTGTCGCCTGAAGGGAGCCCCGAGGCCCGGCCTGGCATCGCGCGGCCTCTACCCAGCAGCCGTGACGCGGGCGTCCCCGACCCTCAGGGCCCGGCGGCGGCCGTCGCGACTGGCCCGGACGACCAGACTCCGGGGCCCGGCGGCGCCGTCAGCGATGCCCCCCCTGGCGCAGCCCCGGAGAGGCCCCGTGAGTGTCCGCCCCCGCCCGGGAGGGGGACCCGGCGGCCGCCCTGGGCCAGGTCCCCTGCAGTCGGGGAGGCGGCCGGCGGCGGCTGTCCCCGGCCTGGCCTCTGTCGCCGGCGCAGGCCCCTCCCGTGGGTGCTGTGCGGCCGCGGCCCTCGGGGTAGGTTTTGGGCTCTTTGGCAGCTCTTGTCTCAGAGCCTCGGCGCGTGGGCGGCGTTCTGGCCGTCGGTGAGTTCTGTCCTACCACGCCGCCTCGTGCCCGATCACCTGTTTCACCCATTTCAGGCCCAGCGAGAATCCCAGTAGGCAGGTAAAGACCCGGGCTGGGCGCTCCGGGAGCCAGAGCTGCCAGGTTGGCTTTGCAGACTACTCTTCGCTCCTGGTTTGCACTTCCTCTGGGGAAGCCGCGTGACAGATGAGAAGGGTCCGCCCGACACGGCCCTGGGTGGACGCGCAGAGCGGGTGACTGGCCTGTCACACCATGTGCAAGCGCAACATGAGGAATTTCGGAGGGCAGAACCCCAGGACGGGAGTGACCCCGCCATGGTGCCAGGCGGGTGTCCCGCGTTCCTGCGCTGCTGGCCAGGCTGCTCCTGCTGCTCCACGCCAACAGCTCAGCCGCCCTCCCCCGCCACATAGACAAGCTGAGGCCTGGCCCGGCCCATCCCGCCCGAGGACCGACACGGCTCCAGCTGCGTGACCGCAGTGAGGAGATGGACAGTCGAGGGCAGGGGCCCGGGGCCCTTGCGTACACTGGCGCCTGCCTGACTTCAGATCTTTCTTCCCGGGGCTCTGGACTCTGCAGCTGAACCTGAGGGCAGGTCACTGAGGAGGAGGTGGCCAGCCGGCCTCTGCCACCCTCTGGGTCCTCGGGAGACCCCTTCCCGCAGCATCTCCCGCCCCTGCGACGCCTCGCCTGTCAGTGGCTGTAGCCGATCCTCAGGGCGTCCCCTCCACGACCAGCCCTCGGCCCTGTGAAGCTTCAGGGGCCATGAAGGATTCAACAGTGTCCCAGGACAGCATGGCTCTGCCCATGTGGACATGGTGCTGGGCATGATGCCTGCCTGCGCCCCCAGCAGCCCCGCACTGCCCCCTGAAAGGCCGGTTGTCCAGCCATGGACGCATAGCTGCTGCTCCTCGGGCCCTGTGTTGCCGGTTGGTCTGCTCTTTGGTCCGGAGCTGATGCCCCTCCGCCCAGAGTGGGCTGGGGTTGCAGGGCCAGTCCAGGCCCCAGAGCCTCCCCACATTTCCCAGTTCCCAAGCGTGAGCGTGCACGCACAGCCTGCAGCTTTTGCCCGGTTCCCGCTGTCGGGACCAGAGGGGCCCGAGGGGCCGCGGCTCTGGGCCTGAAGGTCATACTGCAGACCGAGCTTGCCAAGACTTGCATCGCCAGGCTCCTCCCCCAAACCACAGAGGCAGGGCTGGGGGGACACCGGCTCAGCCCAGCCGGCAAAGTGTGGGGCTCCTTGGGGGCAGCTTGGATGATGGCCTGCAGCGGAGCCCCCTGTCCACTCAGTCACTGCCACTGACCTAAGGGAGGGGCGTCCACATTCACGGGCGCCCAGGGTCCCAGGCGTGGCTCTGTCGCTGGGAACAGCAAGGAGCCCAGACAAACGAGGAGGCCTCACCTGCAAGCAGGGCTCGCCCTATTGTGGGTGGAGGCTTGGGCACTGCATGCCGGGCCCAAAACAGCGCTCTGGTGGGTGTGGGAGAGATTAATTTTTAAGGTGCTGAAGATTCAGACTTGTGTCCCCCGACCGCAGAGCTGCAGGGCCAAGGCCTGGCCTCTGGACAAGCTGCCGCTTCCCTGTGGTCTCTGCACGCACTGCCGCCAGCGGCCCGCTCGGATTTCCACAGCCTGTCTGCCTATCAGCTCACCTCCCTTACAGGGGCCGCCCTGAGAGAGACTCGGGGGTCGCGGCACACAGAAGCTTGCCTGGGGGCTTGGGGAGCTCGTAGCCCTGTCTGACGGACGCCCCAGCCTGGAGGCTGCAGGTGGTCAGCCCCTCCAGAACCTGGGGCAGCGCACCACCTGCTTAGAGAAAAGGCACCCAGAACGTGGGCAGCCAAAGAACAACCCGGGGAGGACCGTTCCTGCTAAAAAGGTCCAGCACCTCCCTGGGAAACGTCTGGCAGGTGCCTGGGTGCAGAGCCCAGGCAGCTGCTGACTGAGTCCTTGCCGCGCGTCATCCGCTGCCTCTTCAACAGTCATGCACGGGTCCCATCAAGTCACCCAAGGCTCCCCTGAACATGGACCTGGGCTAGAATAGGGAGGCCCCACACATGGTCCAGCCGATGCGAAGGCCGGTGAGCGCTGCCAGCCCCACTGTGCGGAGGGCAAGGAGCCCCAGAGATGGAGCTCCAGGCCACGTGTGGGCGCATGGCTCCCCGACCCCAGGACAGGCTGCAGCACTGTCCCGACAGCGCATGGTCTCAGCGGCTGGCGACAGACACGCGCGTGCACGGTCGGCATTTGGAGGTTCATCCGTCAGAGGACGAGGCCTGAAAACACGCCTCGATGTGGTGGGCGTTTCACCTGCATTTCTCAAATCACAAGGCTCTGACGAGACACTCATCACGACGTCTGCCAGCAGGAAATCCACACCCGAACGTTTCCAAACACGGACACCAGAGCATTTTATTTAACAAGTGCGCTGAGACCCCCACGATGGATTTTGCAAGTGAAATTCTCTGTCAACAGATCCCTGAAAAGCTTAGGGAAGGTCAACTGAATGATAAACACAATTTTGAATAATCAGCCATGAGCTTCCTGTCACTTGACATGGGGCACACAGACCTTCCTGTTGAAAGCAGCAGGGTGGCAGGAAGCACGTGGGTGCCGCAGCGAGAGCCACCGGGGAGCCGCGCACCTGCCGGAGCCCCCAGGCCTGTCCCACTCTCTGCCACACCCACTGCAAGTGCTTTCCCCACAGTGCGCTGGCCCCTAGTAACTGCGTCGCCAGGGGCCCTGGGTCCTAAGCACCCACCCGCGGCCCTTCCAGGGCATTGCCAACTTAGGGATGTGGAGCTGCAGTGCCTGAGTCCCTGGGCCCCCGGTCTGTGCCTCCCCAGTCGACAACGCCACGGCAGGAAGAGGCGCCTGGCGGCCAGCACTTGGATTCTGAAGGGTGTGGGCACTGGACGTGGGCAGGCAGCAGGGGCGTCCGTGGGAACCTAAGGGAATTATTTCCACGGGACCTGACACTGCATAACAGCTGAGGACCATTTCATGAAATCCGGTTCCTTGGTGCAAACTGCCGTGTCTCTGAAGAAAGGACACGGAAGAAGCCAACACCCCCGGTTGGCAACCCTGTGCCTTCTGCCCCCTGCGCCCACTGCCCCCTGAGCCCGCCTCCCCCGCCACCCCTACGCCCACCACCCCACCTCCAGAACTCGGGCCCCCAAGACTCCAAGCGAGAGGAGAGGAGGCGTTTCCTGGAGACCATGGGGCCACGTGGCGCATCCACCGCCCCAGGAGCCACTTCCACGGCAGGATGGGCTTGAAGCCAGGTGGGAGCCTGAGGCTCACAGAACGGGCTCCAGGACCGCGCCGCCCGCGGTGCGTCTCCTGAAGCAGCTGCCCGCGGCGGCTGCGCAGGGGTCTGCTGCCGCCTGCACGGGGGGCCTGCCCCCAACCACACCGCGGGGTCCTCCCCCCGCGGCCACACCCGCGCTGCACGCGCCTCCCCCTCCCGTGGCTGCTCCCGAGAAGATGCGTGGCTAGGCCAGCGCCTCATCGCCTCCGGGAGCTGCAGGGGCGCACCCCGAGGCGTGGCCTCCGCCACAGGACCCCCCCCCGTGCCCCCGGCGCCGCAGGACCCCCCCCCGTGCCCCGGGCACCGCAGGACCCCCCCCCCGTGCCCCTGGGCGCCGCAGGACCCCCGTGCCCCCGGGCGCCGCAGGACCCCCCCCCGTGCCCCCGGGCGCCGCAGGACCCCCCGTGCCCCGGGCACCGCAGGACCCCCCCCGTGCCCCCGGCGCCGCAGGACCCCCGTGCCCCCGGGCGCCGCAGGAACACCCCCCCCCGTGCCCCCGGGCGCCGCAGACCCCCGTGCCCCCGGGCGCCGCAGGGACCCGTGCCCCCGGCGCCGCAGGACCCCCGTGCCCCCGGGCGCCGCAGGACCCCCCGTGCCCCCGGCGCCGCAGGACCCCCGCCCCCGGGCGCCGCAGGACCCCCCCCCCCGCCCCGGGGGCCGCGGCCGTTACCGTTGTCTTCGTCCTCGTCCTCCTCGTCCTCCTCGTCCTCCTCGTCGTCCTCCTCGTCCTCCTCCTCCCCGTCGTCCACGTCCTCCTCCTCCTCCTCCTCCTCCTCTCCTCCTCCTCCTCCTCGTCCTCCCGCTCTGCCTCCTCGTCCTCCTCGTCCCGGGGCTCGTCCTCGTCCTCGGAGAACTCGCCTCCTCGTCCTCCGCTCGCCCGCGTCCGCGGAGCCCTCGCTCTCGCAGCACTCGTCCACCGAGGAGCTGTCCGCCTTGGCTGCGAACGCCCTGCGCTTGGGCGCGGGCCCCTGGGGCTGCTTGTCCTGGCTCTTCCTCTTCTTCGCCAGGGGGCAGCCGTAGACACTGGGGGAGACAGGCGGGTCACGTCTGTGCCGGGGTGCGGCGCCCGGGGCCCAGGGTCCTCCTGCCGCCGCCCCAGGCAGAGCAGCCGCTTGCACTGGGAACCTGCAGAAGCCCCAGCAACGCGGCCCCCGTCGCTGCGCGCACAGCGCGGGCCCAGGACTGCCTATGTGGCGCCCCAGGCACGGGCAGCAGCCACCGGTCCCCGCAGATGCACCCTGCCTCCCCGCCTGTGCCCAGAGGACCCCAAGGCTGCCCCGCCCTGCACACAGGCCCGTGCAGCGGCCCCAAGGGTGAGCTGATGGCGGGGGCGACACCTGCCGTGCAGCATGAGCCCCGTGTTCTCAGCAGGGGTCACTCAACGCTGCCAAGATGGCCGGGACTCGGAGCCCTCAGCAGCCAAGGCCTGCGCTGCTGGCAAGGTCTCTGCTCCAGGCTGGCCCCGCCCCGTGCTGCAGGCCCAGGGCATGGCTGGGACCCGGGTGGCTTGGCACGCGCCCCCATGGCTGGGGAACCCATCTTTGGGCCCATGGCAGGGCCCAGCTCCCCTGGGAGGAGCTTCAGACAAAGGGCTCCACTTCCCCTGGAAGGCAAGGGGGCAGGGTAACGGGGCTCTCCCAGGAGGGTGCCCCAGGAACCCTTCGCCATGTGGCTGTGGCTGGGGCACACCAGCGGCACCAGCCCATTGTGCTCGCTGATGGGTGAAGGGATGCGGGGCAGACGCAAGACAGGGACGCCGCTGTTCCAGCACGTTTCGAGTGAAACAGAATTTGCAAGACACGAACGTCAGAAAGAGCATAACGGGTCCCAGGAGAGAACTGGAAGTGGGAAGCCCGGGGCGCAGCGAAGGAGGCAGCGGCTTGGGCGGGGGAGCTGCAGCCAGGAGGGCTGAGTGCGAGGACGCCGCCGTGGGACGTGGTGGGGACACGGGCCTCTGGGGAGGCAAGGGCTGGCCGTGCCACTGTCACCTGTGTCACCCGGGGGCACCAGGGCCCGTGCTGGGGTGAGCGCCAGGCTGCCGGGTGGCAGGTCAGCGGCATGGGAGATCCTGCGGGCCATGTCGGCCTTGCCTGCCAAATGTGAGCCCGAGAGCCACTGGCCCGTGGGGACGCCGCTTCCGGGGGCCGGCTGTGGAGCACGCGGCACTCGGCCATGACCCCCAGTGTCTCCCCTGCAGCCACGGGACACTCCTCCGCACCGGCCCGGCAGCTCGCAGACTCAGAACCACAACCACGTGACACTGCGCAGATGGGCCCCGGGGACGCTCCCCTGCCGGCCAGCGGGACAGGAGGACGTCCAGGCAGAGGCCCAGGTGCAGGTGCACAGGGGGCTCGGCAGGGGGCCCTGGGGCCTCCGGCTCCCCCCCCAGCCCTCTCTGGGCACCCCTGTGCTCAGCTGGCCCACTCAGCTGGGAGGGGGTACGCTGTGACGGAGCCTGAGTCATTCTTGGAAAGGAGAAAGGCGCTGGCTAAACAGCTAATCGCTTCTTCCAGATTTTTCTGGCAAAGGTCTTGACAAAGATTTATCAACCCTGTAACAAGTTGTCCCTTTACAAGTGAGAAAGCCCCTTAGAATAAGCGGGACAGCTCCAGAAACGCGTCCGCATCACGGCGAACAGGCCCGCCCTCAGCTCTGCTGGGGGACGGCAGGAGCCGCCCGAGGCACAGGGGAGAGCCAGGATCACCCGCGGACCGGCCCAGGAAGAGGCGGGTCGGCGTGGGGCCGAGTGAAACCGAAAGAGAATCACATCCGCAAAACCAATTTTTTAAAAAATAGCAAAATGCATTAAAATCAAAGAAAACAGGGAGCCAAGGTCGGCGCAGTGACTGCCGCAGGGGCGTGAGGCAGAGCCCCCCCTCCAGGCTCTGACCCCATTTCCGGGCCCCTGTCCCCCTTCTGCCGCAGTCAGTCATCAATTTGCCTGATTCATGAAGAGCCTCTGGCCGTGCTGGCCCCCGGAGTCCAGCCCTTCGGCCCCTCGGGCTCATGGCCTCGCTCTGTGACCTGAGGGGCTCCGAGGCGCCAGGCAGGGGCGGCCTTCGCAGGGAAGGAGCCGGTGTGACGGGTGGGGGTGCAGGGCCGTGCCCGAGGAGTGTCCCCACCCCCGGGGACTCTGGGATGGGGACGCCGCTGTTCCAGCACGTTTTTAGTGAAACGTGCATCGCACAGGCACCGGCCCAGGGGCGGGGCAGGGCAGCAGCAGTGCCCACACCTCAGCTCTGCCCTGCCCCTCCCTCCCCCGGTGGCGGTCCTGACCGGCCAGCTGCACGTGAGGCTGCCACCCTGCCCGCGCCTCATGGCCCCGTGCCACCCTGGGCCTTCAGCTGGTCCCCGCTGTGCAGTGGAGGGTGCCGGGGCCGCCCGGCTCCTGGGGGGGCCCTTCCCTCGGATCAACAAGCCTCTGAGGGCGGAGGGGGTGGGCGGAAGGGCCAGGAGAGCGCGGGGACGCGCCCACTCGCTCCTGCAGCTGCCAACAGCCAGAAAGCCGCGGCGGCCCCGTGTAGCCTGAGGCGGAGCCAGGCTGTACCCATCCCGCCGGTTGGGCAGGGGCAGCCACGCGCCCGCGCCGCTGCAATTTTCACCCACAGCCTTCCTAACTGAAACCAGCTTTGCAGTTAAATGTGGAAAATGGTGTAACTCCCTCAAGCGCGGCTCGAGAACGCAACTGTGTTCAGGGCATTTGCCGTTTCCACCTCCGTGGAGCAGAGGTGGGCACCTCGGGCTGGTCCGCTGCCCCAGCCTGCCCGAGCTCCCGGCTGCCTCTCCCAGGCCTCCAGGGGAGCCCCGCCCCAAGGCGCCCACTCAGCCACGGCCTTGCCCCGCAGCCAGCGCCCTCAGCTCCAGAACGAGCTCGAGCTCAGGACACGACGAGGGGGCGAGAGGAAGACGGGCCGCAGGTGCACACGAGGCGGGCGAGAGGGTGCAGGCGCCACGAGGGGCTTCGCCTGTAAAGTGCCAAGGCCGACGGAGATTTTCCAAATTGGGGAGAGTTGACACCCACTAGCAACACCCACCCTGACCGGGGCGCACGGGGTGCGGGCACCGAGGCCGAACTTTAGGTCAAAAACCCGTCAGGAGCTGCGCCTCGCACAGGACAGCTCGGAAAGTGAAGGGTCAGAGCGAACGGGGCACCGGGGCTCAGAAGGAGGGCAGGGGCCCCAGAGCAGATCTGGGACGCCTCCAGCTGGGGGGCCCTCGGAATCCGCCTCGCTTCTGTCTTCACCCCCATCTCTGTCTCCGTCTGCCTCTCCGTCTCCCCACCTGTCTTATTGGAGCCTCACACAAAATCGCGGTCCAGAAAAAGTGAGTCTAGTTAGTTCCACACGTCCCGGTGTCTGTGTAACTGCTACAAGGGAGGCTAAGTTTGAAATGCCTCTGCTTGCTTAGTATTACTCTGTAACAGGGTGAAATAAATTTTGATAATTTCCATTTCCAGTTTCTACGTAGGAAATCAGAGAAACGAAGGTCCACGAATCGGCCCCGCTTGCACGCCGAGCCTCGCGGCCACACCTTCCACACTCAAAGCCCCGCCTCGGGCCAGACGCTGCTTCGCGCCCGAGGGGACTGCGGCGGGAGGGCGCAGGGACGCGGTCTCTTACTCAAGTGCTCTGAAGCGGGTTTTTGCAGGAGCCTCCGGCTTTGGCGCCTCCGTGCTCCCCTGACGACGTGGCCAGGGCGGAGCCTGCGGGCCGAGGCCCAGGCCAACACGACGGGGCCTCGGGTCCGAAGGTCCCACCCACCCTTGAAGGGTCGGCCCCCAAGTCTGCCCGGGAGCCCCCTGGAGCCTCCAGCAACAGCCGCTGAGGCCTGCTGCCTGGGCGGGGCGCGCCACGGGGCTCAGTGGGGGGCGGCTGCACAGGGAGGCCGACAAGGCTCTTGTCCTCACACGGAGGGAACCGAGGTCCGGGAAAGGCGCGTGCTTTGTCCAAAGCGCGAGGGCTCTCCGGGACGGCTGGGAGGCCGGGCTTGCTCTCTGTTCGTCTTCGTCCACAAAACCACGTCCTGGCCCAGTCAGCCGCTGTGAGTGAAACACGGGAGTTCTAGGAGCCACGTGCTGCGGGACTCGGCGAACGTGATGTTTCTTCAGAGACTCCGCCGGGAAGCCCCCCAGCGTGGGCGCCCATGGACGCTGCCCAACGTCTGGCCAGCAGCTCGAGGGACAGGGGCGCGCGGCTCACGTCAGCCTCACGCCTCCGGGAGAAGCCGGCAGCCCCGGTTCCGCAGAGCTGGTTCTGAGCAGGGGTGCTGCGGTCGCCCCGTCAGTGGCTGCGGGACAGCCGGGTGGGGACAGCCCCGGGGCTCGTCACCCCCAGCAGAGCGGGCTGGGAAGTGGCCCCAGGGCCCCGTGAAGCCTTTGCAGCCAAGCCGAGTCCTTCCTTCGGCCCCACATGGTGACGTCACCGCGCTGGGCTGGGGGGAATCAGGGCCTCTCCTGCCTCGCCGACTTGTTTTCCATCAAAGACGCAAATAAAGCAGTTTCTTAAACGTACGGATTATGGGTTTGCAGATACGCGCCTGGAAGGTCACGCACACCCTGTAGGCACTCGCGCAAGCGGCCTTCTCCCACGACGCGGCTTGCGTGCAGCAACGACACAACCCACGGAACGGCCTCAACCACAGAAGCGCTCCCAGGAAGCTGCTCACCGGGGCCCCCGCCTGCCGCGCCGCCTGCTACCCCTCGATTCCGCGCAGGACGACCAACACAGCCGCGGGTTTCCCCGTGCGTGCATGCAGGCCACGGAGGGGGGCGCCCAGCGCCTGGCCGGCCCTGACCGGTGGGCAGCCCCGGGCCCGCGACCGTCTGCCCAGGAGCGATCTGCACAGCCGAGTCTGTGGGGTGAGCTGAAAGCCCGCGAATGTCGGGGCCCTCCCTGTCTCCCCACGCAGGGCCCCCGGAGGACACGGGTGCCTCCCTGTCTGGGGCAGCCCCCAGAGGCCAGTCTGAAGGCCCTGCACGCTGGCCCCGAGACGCTGCTCCCAGCCCAGCCACCAGCTCCCCACGCGCCTCCCCTCAGCTCTGGGCCCCGCTGCCCATCCCCGGCCTGCAGCTGCCTGCCCGGCCCACGCCCCAGAAGGGTCAGGAAGGTCACGCTGGGGAGCCCCTACAGCGACTCGAGCGAGGGAGGGGGGCCGCTGGGAGCACCGGGAAGGGGTCTGGCTCGTCGGCTCGTGCACCCCACTAGCCCCTCAAACCCTTAGAAGGGCTGGTGCTTGGCGCCCTCACGAGAGACGGAGCAGAGGCTCGGTCCCCACGGCCCCCACGGCCCAGCTCCGCAGGAGCCGCTTCGGGCCCAGCACCGGCGCGGACTCACCTTCTGTGCCTCGCGTATTTGCCGCTGACGTGGCCGCTGCCATCGCAGCCGGGCGTGGGGCAGCTGCAACAGGAGACAGCGCGTTGGGGAGACCGAGGCAGCAGAGGGTGGGAGGGGGAGACCGAGGTGGGGGAGGGACATGGGGTGGGGAGACCGAGGCAGCAGAGGGGCGGGGGGGGCAGACAGAAGTGGGAACCACGAGCGGGAGGGGGGCGGCCGGGGCCGCGGGGCCTCCCGCACCCACTGGACGTCTGGCGGCTGCTGGGGCCCGGCCGCCGCGCACTGACCTGAACAGCTCCTGCGCGGCCGGCTCCACGGGCACTGCGGGGAGAGGGCAGTGAGACCGGGCCCCAGCCGGGGCCCCGCACACCCGGCGCAGCGCCCCGGAGGGGCCCGGACCCCACGCGCGCACGTACCTCGGACCCCTTTGGAGCGAGTGCGGTGACGCTTCTCCTCGGCATCCACCTCCATCTGAGGACAGAGCGGCGGGCGTCAGCGGGCGGGGCCTGGCCATGGGGGGCTGCATTCTGGGGGGGCTGCGCCTTGGAAGTCTCAGGCCTCTGCCCGGACAGACGGGAGCCCGTGAGTGGCAACCTCCTAGGGGCCCCCAGGGGACCTGGCAGAACAGGCTGGCGCGAGTGAGCGGCACTCCACACCAGGACACACCAGGAGTGCCCGGCTTGGCAATTTCCTGTCACGTGTGTGTGTGTGTTTATGCGCACGCATGTGCGTGTGTCTGACTTTACTGCAGACGTGGGAGCTTGCATGACAATAAATGTCCCCTCACAGACAGACACGTGTGAACTAGTCACTAGTGTCCAAGACGTGAAAATCCACATCAAGTGAGTTGCTGAGTCTGCAAGGACATGAACACCTGAGCTCACAGAGGGGACCCAGAGCCGCCGGGCTGATGGGATGGACGGCAAGTACCCGGCCACACAGCAGCCTTTCGGCCTGCCGGGAGGGGATGCACACCCACACGCCACACACACACACACACACACACCACATACCCCACACACCACACACACCACACCACACACACCACACCCCACACACCCCACACACACCACACCACACACCACACACCGCACCACACCACACACACCACATACACACACCACACACCACACCACACACACCACATACACACACACCACACACACCCACACACCACACACACACACCACACACCACACCACACCACACTCACCACACCACACACACCACACCACACCACACACCACACACATACACCACACACACCACATACCCCACACACCACACACACCACACACCACACCACACACATACCACACACACCACAACCCACACACCGCACCACACCACACACACCACACACACCACGTACACACACCACACACCACACCACACACCACACCACACACACACACACACCCACACCACACCACACCACCACACACCACACACACACCACACCACACCACACCACACCACACACCACACACACACACCACACACACCACACATCACGCACCACACCACACCACACCACACACACCACACCACACACCACACCACACCATACCACACACCACACCACACACCACATACCACACCACACACACCACACACCACTCACACACAACCACACACAACACACACAACACACACACCCCAACACACACACCCCCAACACACAACACACCCACCACACACACCACAACACACACACCACACACCACGCATACAGGAAAAAGCCACCAAGCTCGCGTGAAGGTGAAGACAACACAGAAATATATAAAATCACAAACACTTAAGTTTGCAAAAGCGTCAAGTATAAAGCCACTTCTCACATCCGTTGCATGTTATCTGTGTCCAGGCGCACGTCGTGTGCGGTTTACGTCACGCACACACGGAGCACAGACGTGCACTCGCCTCTGTCACACGGGGCGCTGGTTTGCGGTGGTGAGCAAGGGTCTGGGTCCCCTGGGACCTGAGGGCAGCTGGGGGCCAGCCGAGGGGGCAGCTGCCCATCTGAGGCCTGACCCCTGGGGACAGTCGCCGTCCACCGGGGGAGACTGCTCGGCGAGCCTGCTGCTGGTGCGCCGCTGCCAGGGCTGTGCTGTGGGGGCAGGCGCCCGGAGGCCTCCGCGGCCGCCATTGCCCCAACCAGCCCCGCCTGCTCCTGCCCTTGGCCGGGACGGCGCCAGAACACTGAGCGCCCCCTGAGCTCCTAGCTGCCACTTCGCCCAGCGAGGCCGTGGGGGAGACCACGCCACGGGTGGTGCCGTGGGCACAAGGAAGCTACCCTGGGCCGCTGTGGTCGGAGGTGGGCGTCCTGGATGCCTGCAGCCCCACGGCCTGTCCCCACAGCTGTGTCGACGGGCAGACGGTATGGAAGACACAGGAACCCCAGATTCCTCGTGCGCAGCAGCCGGCCCCCAAAACACGTGATGCTGCCGTGGCAGGTTCAAGAGCCAACATCGTCCCCCAGCAGGTGGCCCCCGTACAACGCTCTAGATGCATGGACAGGGCTGTCCGATCAAAGGGGAGGCCCCCATGGGGCACCCCAGAGGACAAGGGCCGGCACAGTGGGTTCCTGGGCAGCGCCCCATGGAGGAGGGACATGCTGGGGTACATGCAGGGGACAGAGCTCCATCGTTGGGAGGCGGGGAGCCCGGTGGGCTGGGGAGGCCGGGCCCTGCGGGGAAGATGGCCTGCACCCCCGGATGCCAGGCAGGGGTCCCGCTGGTCCCAGGGAGTCAGGCGGCACTGCCCCAGCAGCAGGATGTCCCCAAGCCTGTCTGCAGGAGCGCGTGGCCAAGCTCAGAGGCAGCGGGGCTGGCCTGGTGCGCCACCTCGGGCTGCACCGGGACCTCGGCGTGTGGCCACTGTCCTCTGAGGACTGGGCCGTCGGCTCCCCAACCCCGTCCTCATCCACTGGGGACACACCGCTGACCGACAGGCCCTGCGCGGGCAGGGGAGGGGGCAGGTGGACAGAGCAGAGCCGTGGGAGGCTGGAGGATAGCCTGGACAGCGTCGCGCAACCTGAGCCGGAGGAGGGGCTGGGCTGGCCAGGACCGCCGGCCAGAGGGTGTCGTCCATGCCCCCTGCAGGGAGCGTGGGTGGGGGCGAGGGGTCCAGACCCAGTCCTGCTGCGCACCTGGAAGTCCCACCCACACAGACGGGCCACGGGGAGAGGCGAGCGCTGCCCTGGCCGGCCGGGACGGGCGGAAGGTGGAGAGGGACTGCCCAGGCCCAGAGCGACGACGGGACCCCCAGGCGGAGAGGGGCCAGTGCGGGGAGGACGAAGGCCCCGTCCCTGTGCCGGACGCCAGGACGGGCCCATCTCCCCTCAGGGCGGGAGGACAAGGCGCCGGCGGGAGGCGGCGGGGAGGTGGGGCTCTACCTCGCAGGAAGGCTTCTCTCCCAGGAAGGGCGGCAGCGTGGCTCCGGGGCAGGACACAGGCGAGTCGAGGTCCTCTCTGGGGGCCGGCGCTGTCCTCCCAGCTCGCGACCGTGGCCGAGTCACTTCCTTCCTCTGTGCCGCGACGTCTCCATCTGCAAAGCGGGGCAGCGTGAGGCCCTGGCGGCTGCGCACACGGTGGCGAGGCTGCCCTCCTCGCGCCGCCGCCCCTGCTCCGGGACAGACGTCCTCGCTCCGGTCCGTCCGGCTACCCGAGCACGAGCGCGCAGCCCGGGCCTCCCAGGAAGGCCCCCAGCTCGCCAGGCTTCCCGCCTGGGGCCACCCCTGCCGCTGAATGGGCCCCGCAGCCCGGACCCCCGCTGCCCGAGAAGGCCTGGCGCCGGGTCCCCTGGCCCAGTCCCCCTCCTGGGCCCGGTGCCTGCCGGGAGCTGGTCACGGGGCCGCTCGCCGCGCAGCCTTGATTCAGAGCCGCGGCCAGCGGGTGGGCCAGCACAGCCGCGGCACACGCGCTTTGCTTCTGGAAACGCGGCCTTTCAATTGCAGCAAAGCCTGAAGAAGGGTGGCAAGGTCAGGCCCGCTGACTAGGTGGGGGACCCCAAGGCCCGGCCCACGCCCCGCCAAGGCCCCGCCAGGCGTCGCTCCCCGCCTCCGCTCCACAGTGGAATCGTCTCCTCCCAACGCTGCTGCTCCGGGGTGGCACCAATCGCTCTCCCGGCTCTGTCCCGAGGGCCTGCCCGAGGAGGCTGCTGTCTCCGCCCCACCCCCCAAGCAGTTCTGACAGGGTCAGGGGCTGGCACATCCCCCAGCGTCCTGGGCGCGGCTTTGGGAAAACGCACAGCTCTTGGGGCCTCGAAGGTTCTCTGGTGTCTGCTAAGGGGCGCGGCAGGAGAGGGCATTCGGGCTCTGACACGGCAGGGGCACCAGTGGCCCCCAGGCCATGGGCCTAGCGGCTGGTGGCCGCCACTCCCCGCCATTCCAGGCAGAGAGTAGAGCGTGGCCCCCAGAGGTGCCCGCTGCAGCCCACGGACTCAGCCCTCCTCTCTGCTCCTCCAGTGGCCCCGGCGTCGGGCAGGAGGCGGCTCTGCACACGGTCAGCCCTCACCAGCGGGGCGTGCGACTCCCGGCCTCCCCCGAGGGGCAGCCCCGGAGCCCGCTGCTTCCTGAGCCAACTCGCAGGGCGCCCAGACTCAGACTCGCACCCCCACCCCCGGGCCCAGGGCGGGTAGGAGCGGGGAGCAGGCGGGTCCCCTGCAGACAATGCAGGTGTGGGGGGCACTCCGGACCCTGCAGGCCGTGGGCGCGGTATGCCCCCTGCAGAGGCCGTGGACCCTGACCGGACCTCAGAGCACAGGCAAGCTGGGTTCCACCAAAGCAAACCCCTGGGAGATGGGTGGACCGTCCGCCCGCCGAAGGGAGGCCCCATGCATCGCCTGACGCAGGCAGGTACTCAGAGAGTTGGCAGCCACAGCTCCACCACCAGCCCCTGGACCAGGCAGAGACTCGCGTGGTCAGAGAAGCCATGAATGGCCCAGAGGCTCTCGAGGGGCCTGAGGCCTGGCCGCTGGGTGTGCAGGTCAGAGCACCACGAGATGGCTCTGACCGGCGGCCCAGATGGGGCTGCGCATGACAGCCAGGGACAGACAGAGACGCATGGTCACCCCAAGGGCGCGCCAGCCCTGGACGCACCACTGCAAAGGGGACGCAGGGAAGGACGGTGCCTGGGGCCTGGCAATCAGGGCTGCCTGGGGTGACAGGAGGCAGCGTCCGGCCAGGTCAGGGCTGCAGGTGACGGCCACGCCGCTGTGCAGGGGCCCGAGCTGCCAGCTTGAAGAGCGCGGAGGCGGCAGATTTCCATTTGCATTTTGCCATAATTTTAAATCGCTCAGGAGTGAGACGGCCCGACCCCACGTCCCGCAGGAGCAGGGACCAGCACAAAGGGCAGGCGAAGAGCAGGCCGCCTGCGAGGCCGTCCCTGCGCTGGGTGTCGCCAGGGGTGAGGGGCGGGCCAGGGCGGGGGGCGGTGTGGGGGTTCGGTCCGCAGGAGGCGCAGGCCCAGGCGACATGAGCCTGCTCGTCAGGACGAAGGGGCTGTTCCCGGTCAGATGGAGATGCCCTTCCTGGCCAGCCCTGTCCCCCTCAGGGGAGGGCCGGACGTGTGAGCAGGTGGGCCTTACCTCGGGCAGCTCTAGAGGCCGTGCGGCCGGGCCCAGAGCCTCCTGGCCGATGTCAGTGACCGGAGGGGCGGACGCTGGACTGCGCTCAGGGGCTACATCTTCCCCTCTTCCGCCAGCTGCGGTCACTCTGGAGAAGGACAAGAGACGGAGAAATGAAGGTGGTGCTGAGGACGCTCAGCCTGGGGCAGCAGGGGCGTGGACACAGCGGGCAGCGGGCCACCAGCACCCACCTGGCGCGGCGGCCCCATAAGTCCTTTCAGAAAAACACCACGAGAACCGACTCAGATCAGCATCTGTGACGCAGAACCCACAGGGGAATGAGCCGCCCAGGGCGCCGTGCAAGTCCTGGATCTTGGCTGCGCTGGGCGCAGGGGCCAGCGGGAGACAGCAGGGATGGCGGGGATGGCGGGGGGCGGCGGGGACAGCAGGGAGTGGCAGGAGATGGTGGGGCGGCCCAGTGCAGCGAGGCCACAGGGACCGTCACTAGTTCCAGACCAAAGCGAGCAGCTCCTGCAGCCGCCTCTGCCTCCCGCGGCCCCGGCCACACAGCTGCACGGAGCTGGGCCCTGGGCCTGGTCACGGCTGCAGGACGGCGCCTCCGACATGGCCACGGTGGCAGCTGATGGGCGACGACGTTCTACGGCGGTTTGTGAAAACGCGAGGGTCACCACGTGAGGAGCACCGAGCAGCAACCTGAGCGGGCGGGTCCCGCAGGAAACAGGCGCGGCACGAAACCATTCCCCGGGCTGTCCATGAAGGGCTGGCGGGGCCAGGGCCCCCACTGCCCACCCACTCGGGCGAAGGACACCCCTGAGGTGGGCGTCAGTCAATGCGTCTGGCCTGGCAGTCACCGTCCCAGGAGGGCGTCCTGCCCTCGCGTCCCCGTGGGCTCCGCAGCTGGCTGGGCACTTGCCAGCGGCCGCAGGTGCTGCCCAGGCCCCTCCTAACATAAGGAGGACCTGGGGGACATGCGGCCAGGGCCAACCAGGACCTGGGTTTTGTGCACATCTAGCCCCAGGCGACATCACGGCGTGGATGGCCAAGCGCCCCCGCTCTGCCCCGCGCCCCCGCTCAGTGCTCGGTGCCTCACACGCGCTGGGGGTTGCTGGGCCTGCCCCTGCCGGTTCTGCGGGGCTGGGTGCCTGGGGCTGGAGGCTGTGCTGCGCCCGCCCTGCTGCCAGTCAGGCTGAAAGGCCTCAGGTGACCATCAGCCGCAGGACAGCCCCAAATGTGGCCAGGGCCAGCAGCTCAGAAAGGACTCCAGCGTCACAGCCGTCACAGATTGAAGAAACACCTCAAAGTCCCTGCGCAAGAGACCCCGTGAGCGCGGCTGTCTTCTCTGGGCGCCGCTGACTGAGAATCCCTCGCCAGCCCACCCCGCCGCCTGCCCCCGCTGCGACTCAGGGCACTTGGGGAAGTGCTCCAGCCCCAGGGGCCTGGCTGGCCGGACCCCATGCCCCGAGTCCCCCTCGCCGCTCGGCTTGGCCAGGGCCGCACCCGCCCCGCGCACACCGTAGCCCCGCGACCCCGGAGCCCCACGCACCCCAGAGCCCCACACACCCCAGAGCCCCGCTTCTGCAGCAGCGTGAGGGCCGGTTCCACGCCCACCTCCACGAGATCCGCCGGGTTCAGCGCGGCGAGTCCAGGGCGGAGGCCGCCAGGTGGCGCGCGTGCGGCCGGCCCGGAGCAGGTCCCGCTGCGCCCCAGGTCTGCCCACGCCCGCTTCCCCGAGCCCTCGACGCGGAGGAGCTTGCGGCCTCTGCTGCCCCTGCCCTGAGCTGCTGGCCGAGGGGAGCCCGCTCCACGGGCTGCCCGAGCCCCTCCGGCCCCCAGGGCGCGCAGGCCACACTGGCCCTGCTGCTTGTGGCCTCCTTCCCCCGGCCGCGCCCGCCCCGCCCTGGGCCCTCGGTGCCCTCGGAGCTGAGCTGGAGGGCGCAGGCCACACTCGCAGGACCTGGACGCCGCGGGGTGCCCCGCCCACCCAGGGCCTGTGCAGAAGGAAGGCGGGTCCGGCTCTTGCCTGGAGCTGCAGAGAGGACCTGGTGGACGCCATAGGCGAGGCCGGGCGCCGCCTGCGGGTATCTGACTCTCAGCGCAGTGCCCGGAGTGCGGCGTGGGGGACAGGGCTGCGGGGCCGAGGCTGTCCCACTCACCAGCCTGGGCTGTGCGCCCGCCGCCTGCACCCTCTCCGGCTGGGGGCCCCGTGGGGCCGGCCAAGCTCGTCCACACCCACTCCAGACAGCAGGTGGGGCTGGGCCGCTCCTGTTCTGGCCCCGGCGCACCCCCTCGAGTCAGCCGTCAGCCCCAACCAGGAAGTCAGTCCCGGCCAGTTTGTAAACACGGATTTCTCTCTGAAAACTGCCTGGCTGGTGGCCTCGGTGGCACGTGGAGATGTTTGGATGCTCAGTGACCACGCGCGGCCCCTCCTTCCACGGGGATACCTGACTCCATGCCGGAGACGCCAACCCCAGGCCGCACTCAGAGGCCAGACGCAAAAATACTCCGCTGCACTGCCCGTGGCCGCGTAGGGCCGCGATGTGAGACAGACCAGGCCGCGCGCAGTAGGCGCTGCAACTGGTGCCCTCGCTGGGACGGCCTCCTCACCTCCAGGGGAGCGAGGGTTCACACAGTGGCCCCCCAGACCGAATCGAGCCTGCAGTGGGCCACAGAGAGTGAGCAGCAGCAGCAGCCGTGACCTGTGGCTGGTTCCTAACACCACGGAGGCTGCGGCAGAGGGTCCGGGGCGGCGGGCGGGTTGCTCCCCAGGCACCTGCGCGAGCCAGAGCTGCCTGGGCCGTGACGTCGCCACCTGCCGCCCTCTCCT